TGCCGGCCCGACCACCCATCCAGGAAAGCGAGGAGAGAGCTCTCAACTCCATTAGCAAGCATGTGGGTTTTGTTTGTCTGAAGCATAATATGAATATAAAGCTTCTAAACTCGAAAACGCCGCTGCAGGCTCCACCCGAATTCTTCAGCTTTATAAAGCGTAATTTGGGAAGGGGTAATGTTAACCAATCACATTTTAAGTTTCAAGTTTTTTGATTCTTGGAATAGTTCTGGTTATTTAAATTGCGTTTAATTCCACACCTTAAGCTTCGATGCTATTTCTGAGACAACTTACCGTAGCTAATTATCGACGATTCCGTGCTCCTCGTTCATTCCGAATCACACGATTTCTGTTGATACGATTACTAGAAATTACTTCTGAACAATCTATAGCCTATGCAGGCCAAGTTTAACTATAATTATCCTAGGTTTTTGCATTTTACACAATCGATGCCGAACGAGTTGCTACTATTTAGAGCAGAAGCATCTTGTGCGTTAGGCAATTTCCTGGCACTGTAATTGCCAGTTAACCGACCAACGAACTAACCAACCAAGCCGTCGGCCAGTCGGCCATTTGGTTTCTTTTGATTCCTGACTCGATCGAGATCCTCTCAGCAAACATTGCGTCTACAGTATTTTTCTCATGCTTCTTGCTTCTACACATCTGCGATCGAGTTCCTATCGTCATCATGTTTGTCTCTTCAACTCCACCATTTTCCGCAACCGGTGCGGGAATCCATTTGTTAATCTCAACGTTAATTGACAAGAAACACGTTAATTTAGATAGATGCTCTTCATATCTCTGTAGCTTCTGAGTACACTGTAATTCCGAAGTACTTCGTCGATAACGTCATACTAACAACTTTCTTCCTATTTAACCCTGCACATATTTCATCGTATGCCACCCCTATCTTAAAATGATCTATAGTTAACTTTTTACCCACTGCCTACTATTATTTTTCACGGCAGGGTGCGATTCGATAGAATACAACAATTCTGATGCTGAGATCTTTGCAAAATTTTGACCCCAGGCCAGGTCCAGCCCGTGATTATCTTTTCCAACGGCACACATTTTGCCCACCGCACCACTGACGCCTCTGCCATCCATTTTTCCCAGCCAATTTTCTACTCCAAAGTGTTGTTGTAGAATGGTTTCCATTTTCTTAGCGGTAGCTTCTAGGTGGTGGTCCGACTTTTTCAAAGCTAGTTTCATTTTTCCAACTCATTTCTACCACTTTAATGAAGATTTTCACTTAAACATTCTATCCTAGTTTCTTCTATCATACATTATTGAGCAATTTCCTGAAGGTTTCGAATGACGAGGGATAAATTTGTAAAGAAAATTTTTCCATAGCACCGAGCCACGCATTTTCTGTTGTTGCCCATTGACACATCGATTCGAGACTTTCGATCTATCTGATCAATTTGTTCGATCTCTTTCAATTCTCCACTATTTTTTATCGTAAGAATCACACATATGTCTCACACTATCCCGAACAATGGTATTTTGGTATTATGAAGGAAAACTGCTCTTTTAAATCCAAAACAAAAAGTGATGGGAAGAAGAATTCGGAAGATGAACGGAGTAGATCAACGGCGAATAGATCGACGTTCACTCCCATCGTCTGCAATGTCCACATCGCCTACTTTTTGTTAAATGTTTATTTTGTATTCAGACTTCTAGTCATTGTATAATCATTCTGTGGATCGTTCCATACAGCGTGATAAGCCTCGGAATTGTGCCTTTACGTCCTAGTGGAGTAAAAAAAGTTCCCGTAAAGTTTTCTGCAAGATCGATTCCATGCACAGGACTCTTGATGAGAATCTTTTTTCACTTAAGTAAGAGCTTTTGATGCTGTGAAACCTTAATGTCAGATCAACATTCATCTGAATTACCTCCAAACCATCTTTGAACAATAAGCCGAGTTCGAGGGCTTTAAACAAAAAAAGTAAACTTGACGGGTAAGGACACTTTCACCGACATTTGAATGACTGCCATTTCGAGCCTTGCGGGTAAAGCTTTTCTAAATTTGTTGGTGAACTTTGCTTAGATCACTTTTTATGCTGCAAAACGCATCAGAAATAATATCTACAGAGTGGCTGCACGTGTAGTGAATACATATCGATTAACAAAATACTAAAGTTGATAGTAAATTCTGGTACCGCTTATACATTGCTCGTTTCCCATAACCTCTCTCTCCCTCTCTTCCTCTTCCTCTTCCTCTTCCTCTTCCTCTTGCTCTTCCTATTCCTCTTCTTCTTCTTCCTCTTGTTCCTCTTCTTCTTCTTCCTACTTTCTCCTGAACATTCAAAGTTTTCGTATTTCACGTCACACAATTCAAATAAACATAGTATCACACAAACACACAAGCTCTCTGCCTTCAAGAAATGTTTGCATTGGCCCTCCTCACCGATCGTTCGACGAGAAAAAATGTTGTTCTCATGGAAGTGATAGGTCGAATTTCCATGATGTTGTTAAGGTATTTGTTCGCATGTAATTGTATGGTAGGCAATAACTACCTAACTACCATGACGGGGCTACCGACCGGTTTCCGTTGATTTTGTCATGTTTGAATGACACTTGAAGCACTTCCTCAAAGAGCTTCCCGGCTCAAATCTCATCGTCCACTAACTGTTTCCATCGTCATCGTGACGCTAATTGACCTAGTAAACAATCAAGAAAAACCAGCTCTAACTGAAGCGTATGTAAGAGATGCTAGATGTACCATTCAAAGAAATAATCTGGAAAACACTAAGGAAGAGATTTCGTTGTCTTCGTGAAAAGGAAAACCAAAAATTTCTTAAGACCGGATTATTTACACAGCAAACATTTCACAATGCACCAGTTAGGATTTAAATGCTACATCTAGACGTCATAAACTGGTAACTTGTTTTTCGTTGGGACATCCTACTTTCATCCGTGTTTCATTCTGAAGTCCATTCTCTAGAGAATCACGACGTCGATGATCTTTGATTTTATGATTTTGCGCGAAACATTCCGTAAAGGCAGCTGGCGGTCTCTTTAAATAGCGATATGTATCACAAGGCCATAACATCGGAAGCTCTGGGAAGAGAAACGTTCGCAATTTGTTGTTCGACGAACAGAACTGAACTGCAAAGTGCAATTTTTGCCTCTGTTAGGCCATAGTTGACCATTTCTGTCGACGTGAGATTCTTGAGATTCTGAGAAATGTCTATTGATGAGTGTAATAAATATGTAAAGTGATAACAATAGTTCATAGCAACCAGCTCAGTGATAGGGTTATCTCATCAGCTTAGCCAATCGTAGTGTCTTAGAAAGAGGACGTTAGGCTAGACACTGGCGATCTACGCCAACAATGTCATGTCCGTAGTTTCATTCAGTGAATCATCGGAAATTCTACAAAGACGCTTGATTGCCGTTAAACAGTTTCTTTGCTTACTTTAAGAAATACTCTTAGTCCAGCTGGGGCCAGCTTTGTGCAGAGGTACTTTGAAATTTCAGTAATTGATCGATTTCCACAAAAAGCGCATCAAAATCTCATCACTGATCTATGAACAAAGGCTTTTTTTCCTTTATTTCCATTTTCGCGCCACTTGTTGAACTAAACGAAGTGATACTCTAAGCAATGAAGGTTTCCTAACATTATTAACACACATTTTGTTCTTAGGCTCAAGGAATCCATTGAAACAAACCTTGGTAGAAGTGTAGAAGTTTCCAAATAAGATAGATTAGTACCTATTTAATCCCATTCTTAATGGAACTCCAACTGACCCAAAGGGCTTGCTAGTTTTATATCCAGAAATTCATTGCACCTTTTCCGGGCGCGAAAATACCTTTGCATGACCTTAAACCCTACAGTTCCACAATCTTGTTTTTTATTCAATAACGTAACTTTTGAAAATTGTCCTTAGAAGAAAATTCTTTTAAATTTTCACGTTATCTCTTCTTTATTAGTTCACATCCAGAAAATTCGTCCACTGTTTTCTGTCGCTGGGTTATTTTCGGAAGTACTTCGACATAAACGTACATAGTAATCGAAAACATTTTGCATTTATGTTCTTTAATATAATAACTATAAGGGACATTCCAGATGAGACATCGAGAGACATTCGCTCTCGTTGTCCTTTTACCAACAATTGATCCTAATAAACGAAAATAGCATGTGTAGGATGCAGGACTGAGCATAGGCCACGGGTCGTTGACGTTTTGCTCCAGCCGGGATTTTCAGCTCTCGGATTTTTTTCAAACAACCGCATTTTTTACCTCATATTATACGTGATTAACACAACTAATGCATTTTTTAAAAATGTATCATTCCTGAAATGTGCGCGTGTAGCGCAAAGGATAAAGGCGCCCTTTAATACGCATGAGTTCGATCCCGTGCCTCAGGCTCACCAAGCCTTCCATCTCTACGCGCTCGGAAAATTCGTTTCGAGTTTGTCCGGGTGTATAGCAGCACCGACGCGATACATCGGTAGGCTAACGCAAGTTTTCTTAAAGGTCAGATGTTTATTAAATCACCTCTAGCAATGCTTGATGAAGTCGAATGCATGACACATCCCTCAAGGATTGATTAGCGCCGAGAGCTTTATCCTTTTTTTCATCATTCTCGACAATGTTGTCGTCGTTACTTTTCAGATTTCGTGTGTCTTGGCGTAAATACATAGTTGTTGACTCAATCCGGAGCTAGGAACTAACCAATTCTCCCACTTCCCAATTTCTCCAGGTGTCGCTAACTTAGCACCAGACTTGTTTGGGAGCACAGCAGCACTGACCGCTCACATCGTTGGACCTCTTGAAGTTGTTATATAGTCCAAGTATGAATTCAGCCACTTCTGCGATGGCTGAAGAAATTGAATGGTTGTCGTACCCTTCCGGAATTGATCAACCCGCCAAACGCCCTAATTTTTCATGGCTCATGGCATCGATGTATGGGCGACGGGCTTGTGAGAAGTTGAGATGAGATCTCTGTTGTCGGTGGAATGGATGGCTTCGTTACGACTACAGCCGTCAGCCAGATGATCAACAACGACGCGTTTATCTATTTCGTCACACACAAGTCGTGCAGCCAGCAGATGCCGACGACGGCGCCGCGTCGTCGATGGCAGAACCAGTTCGCTTTCGCCTTCCGACACTCCGCTACTCCATCGCCACTTTCTCCTCGTCTCCGTTGTCCGCTCCGATCGCTCCATCTCGGCCTGGTCTCTTTTTTCCACTCCAAGCTCTACTTATATCTTCCAGGAAGTCAAAGCGATTTGGGAAGAATTGCCGAATACTACTCAATCTGAGCTCTTCAGCTGATAATTCTGTTCCTTTTTCCTTCCGTGACACTCTGCTCCTGCGTAGCCACTTTCTTCTCGTCTCCGTCGTCCGCTCTGATCGCTTCGTCTCGGCTTCGCTGCTTTCTTTTTTTTTCCACTCCAAGCTCTGTTTGTATTTGCCAGGAAGTCAAAGCGAGGTGGGCGCGTATTGCCGAATACTCGTCCTCAATCCATGCTTTTCACTTGATCATTTTGTTTCTTTCTCTTTCTTCTCTCGTTTCATTAGTTTTTCTCTTGTTCTTTTGACTTCACTGAACATCCACCTGTTTTATGCCACTGATTGTCATGCTATATGCAGCATATCTTCTGTTTATTTTTCTTCCTTTCGTTTAAAATTTCCTAGCCGTGATCGATATTGCTACAGCACAAGCGAAAAACACATGTCTGCGACCAAAATCCAAACATTAAAAAACATAGTGTTGTAGGACATCTGAAAAAACGGATGTTCATGACCAAAACGGAAACATTAAAAAACCGGTTTGAAAAGAAAGAAAGTCAAGAGTTACTAGAACGATCCTAGAAAAGATGAGTAGAATAAGATATGGAAAGATGACCGTTCAAATACCTTAAGTTCTTACTTCTTCCATTTTTAATCCTCTTCTACATTCTGTAGGTAATGAAAAAGGTAAGGCACGTATGACCCACCCATATGACTGTCGACTACTGATTTTCTTATTAAAAAGCATTTCGTCGCAGAATTAAGCTCGAAAAGTGTGGAAACAAAGAGGACAAAAGCTCATGTATTGCTATAGCGCCCTTGGATACAAGAAAATAACGATTTTTTGAGGTCAACGAACATTCTGTGATTGCATCTATTTATACAAATCACTTCGATAACAATAATGAAAGTGATCCAAAGTTATTAGTTCATCATAGCTCTCATCACTTGCTGTCGCATCAGGAGGGAGCTCGGGTGTACAACTGTGGTATATCCGGCAGTAGTCCATTCTCTTGAGCAGGGTCTTCCAAGGTGGTTATGAGTTCAACGTTTCCATTCAGACATCTAACTAAAAGTAAACTAATGCTAGTAATGCTGGCTGTCCTTGAAAAATCTAGTCGCAAGCTGGTAAATTACCTTCCGATACACAAGAATAGATGAATACCTTTTGCGAGGGACGGCTATGGCCAAACTCTAGCGAGAAAAGTTTGTTCTGTTGACAAAAACTGGTCAAATGAGGATTTTCTGAGATCCTTCCGGTTCATTTGGTTGAGAGAATATTCAGGTATTTAACTTGACAAGCAGGTGCAGCTAACAAATCCTTTTTTGGCACAATATTTGTTCTCCGTCAATTTATTCACTCTCGCTTTCTTTTGTCGTTGAAGCCTTCATGTTGAACAAATATTTTTGACGTTTTCTTTAAGCACATTGATACTCAGCCAGAGAGAACGGAAATGATGCGAAGGATCGACCGAAACGAATTTAGAAGAGACAAAGAAAAAGAGAAAAGAAAAGTAACTTCCAGGCTACTGACTTTCTATTAGCTTCGGTATTGAGCACTAAGTTCAGATATTCGGTTTAAATTTCAAGTCTAAGAAAGTCTCACAGCTTTCATTGTGCATGTTACTTGACTCTTATGCAAAATATTGCTCCCATTCTACTCTAGCTAATCCCCATTATTAAACCCTTTTAGAAGCCGAGTTGCTTGCAAAACTCAAACCCCAAGCTAGATTCGGTCCCGCGATTCTCCTTTCCAAAAGCTCACGTCGTGCCCACTGCACCACTAGGGCGCGAAAAATAAAATCGGTGTTGAATAAAAAGTTATACATTGCAACGAGTTCGAGTCTGGCCTGCGGTCTGAATTTTGCAAATACCTCAGCTTCATTGTCGTTATTTCTTCACATAATGCCCTACCATGGTAAAAAAAAATATTAGGCAGTAAATAAAAAGTCATACCTTTTAGAGCCGTGACTACTCTTACTTTTGTTTTACCTTATGTAATGACTTTACTAGCTTGAAATAATGTGCCCCAAATGATTTCATGGCTAACGTCGGACACTTGATGACCGTCAATGACATGTCACATTGAGAGAGATAAGTAACCTATCACCCAAAGAACGGCACCATTACAATTTTCTTGGAACAGTTAGACACGAAAATGTCCTTCGATTAGCTTTCATTTCGTAGCAGAGTTGTGGAATTCAGGGGCAGTCATAGAAATCTTTCTCTCTTGGAGAATGTTTATCGTCGATTTGTCGGGGAAAAACACCTTCACCCTCAGGCATTCTCATTCCAGTGATTTTGACGACATTGTTTACGTATTCATGTAAGTCTCCATGGACTTTCGGATAAATCATTGTTGATGAGTTTCGTTAGAAACATTCCCTTCGATTCTCGCGGTGACGACTAAAGTCAGCTGTTCTCCATTGATAAATATGACCGGTACATGCGTTGCATGCTCTCACAGATAAAATATCGATCTTTTCATCGACAAAATATCGATTCGTTCACAGACCATTTGGAACTTTTACTACTTTTTTTGTTGTCTGCAACATCTACTAAGAGATACATCTTCCACAGACATCAATCCTCAATTTCTTTGAAGTTTGCGTTAAACATCACATCCTATTGATCCAGCACACTTTAGTCCTGCCGCGAGGATTTGTTCCTTGTTATTTTTAAGGTATTCACCTTTTATTCCCAACGTTTAGGGGGAAATTTGACGCTAAAACGATTTACAACCTTTCTTATTTAAACTACTATCGTTAGAATTAAGCAAGACTAGAGCTTTTGATATCATAGAGCGGCAATGTTGCCATAACTACTTTTTCTTCTGTAGCTGTCAAAAAGCAAAAAACCTGCAGAAATATCAGCTCCTCTGTTTGTTATCGGTTTTCTACGAACTGCATTCACTTCTAAATGATTCCGCCAATCGTTTTTTAGCCCAATATTTTTCCGATAGTAAACCGGTAGATGGGATTCATGGCGAAGCATTCATTAAATAAACTCTGGCACCTCCACATAGCGGCTCTCAGATTCATAATGATTAGAATGGAACCTTTTCGTTTCACTTCTTGTCTTCTTGTAAAGTACGATGTTCTTCGTTTCCTGAATAATGGTGTTTGTTTTCTTTCTGGCAAAAGAATCTTCTGTGAAGCAGAGTTGATGAATACCATATAGAATCGCGAACAACAGCAGAACAAACTTTAGACTGATGATCACGATGATCAGTTTCTTCGTGGTTTTCTCCGCTGGTTGACTCTGAGCCCAATCGTTGAAACGACATAAAGAATAGTGTAAACATTAAACTATATACTTTTAAAGTTGAAGAATAAACTCGGAAGTTCTATCTAAAAACTAATGCTTACGTATTTATTGACTACGTTTACATCATCTACCTAAGATCAGCGTTGAGCGTTTGCATGGAAGAGCTCGGTGTCAACTACGGGAAAGCGATGAAGGGAGCCAGTGTCCTGTTGGGTACAGTGGTGTATTTCGCATTCAGCCACTCATAAATCATCCCGACGATCGGGTATACAATGTTCCACGTTATTCAACAGATTCGCTTTACAATTGGCTCTACAGCTACACCTCTGACGCTCTCAGCCCTCAGCTTTTGCTCATCAACGCCTCAATGATGCTGAAAATCTCACATCAGGATTTGCTCGACTAAGCTAAGTAGCGCTGATCTCACTGATCCGCCCTGGTGAAAACACTTTCGCTCAGAGAGGAGCTACTCAATGTGCTGTCTTGTGATTTCAGCTCTTCACTTTCAGTCGTGGTTTCCACTAGCTATTTCACGCATCTTCTCTTTCCCTCTTCGATAAACTAAATAATATGATTTTTTACGATTTCTTTCTCAGAAATGCGGGTATGGTGGCGAACAAAGGTTCGAAGAAAGACGTATGAGCTCTTAATTGGATCAGAACTTTAATTGAATCAAATTTTTCACAGGACTCGTTAGCTCCTTTATGCAGAACACCCCACTAAAAGCCGACTTATAGTGGTGTAACGTTGTTTCACATGCCATACGGGAATTACCATATCATCAAGTCGAATGCATTGAAACTAACTAATGCCTTACCTCTATGTGAGAAACAGTGACCTATCGAGATAATCGGCTGACTAGCAATGAGCTAGAAATGGATGGTTAAGAAACCATCACTTCGAACAGATTATTATTCTGAATTATATAAATAGAATGAAAATGTCCTGCTTTCGTAGTAGTGAGGCACCCCAGGAAGTTTTTCCTCTGTCTGGTCCACTTTTTCTAATCAACCTTTAGCGAGTTCCTCTCGTGTTTCCGACATTCCTGATACTGGAGTTGTCTCTGGCGTTGTCACTCTCATATGACCATCGGTCGGGAATTACTCTTCGTCCGTTAACTAAGTATTTCTGCCCGAATGCCTTCGTATAACACTGCAGTTCAGCACATAACGTTCAGAAATATTACACATAGTCGGTCGCTATTCTTTCTGCACACCATTAAATTGAATGTGATTATATGTTATTATGTTAAAGGTGAAGAGTTCTCTACTAAGTTATAAGTATTTGTGATCATAGCTCACTATTAAACTCTCTCCCAATCACGTTTAGCATGCAACTTAATGCTTTGTGAAGGTTTCGCTAGTCCGGAGAAGAACACTTCAAGTGTTTTGCGATGAGAATTCAGAAACTCTCACTTCACTGGTGGATTACCTTCTTCCACGGGACGTTTGCTTTCAACCACATTATTCTCCATTCACTTCAACGTTATACCTCGTAATAAAGGAAAAGCACAACCTATATGAATCAAGCAGTTTTCTTTCTTGTCGAAAGAAAAGTTTGCCAGGTAGGGAACAGTCTTGTCAGTGACAGTTTCAAGAACTTCGTCGTAACTACAGCGCAGGGAAACAGATCATTCCAGATACACGGGGTATTCGTATATGGACTCCTGTGAGACTATTTATAATTTTCTATGCTTTCAAAGAAAATGACCCGTGTTTTACGCGTTCTCCACATTCAGTTACGTCCACATTTTGCCATTGTCAGGAATTTTTCACTCTGCATGCTTTGATCCAGTAGAATTCAGTGTAGGCTCGGGAAATGCGTGCCAATTCAGGTGCTAGCAAGTGATATGCATTATTTGTGAGCGAGTCTTAAGCCATAGCCACTAGACAATGGACCACATTGTTGCCATAGAACGACGTTGTTCAAAGGTGTCGGAATTGTTTGTTCTTTGTAACATCCAGTTATTTTGTTCGTGAATAAGAAAAAAGGCTAACCTGCTTGTATTGGGAAGAATTTTCGATTCCATAGCCTATTAAGAGGAGTCTATTGGGGAACTGTATAGTAGAAGGACATTACCAATTTTAGGCTCGAGTAAATTACATATAGTGAAAATTTTGCTACTTTTCGTCGTTGACTGGCACATATAACGCTGTCTTTAGTGAATTTAGGTGGGTTGTGAGAACTCTGCGTGCGAAGTTACTTAGGAACTCATTCAAATTTCAAACAGAGCTTTTGTGGTGCTTCAGTGGCAGCCCTAAAAGGGAATGGCTGCCTATCCAACAAATAAAAGGAATGCACGATCAGATTATGATGAAGAGACCAGCGTCAAACTGGTCTGGTCTGCTTTTTGTTAATATTAATCATTTTCATTTATGAGCTCTTTCTAGAATCACTTGACCCTGAAATCATGCAAATATTTCTGAGAAGTGATCTTTTCATGCTTTACGACTGAACAACTGTCACATTTTTACGGCCGACGAGTGCGTGTGATGTGTTCTGACCTGGGTAATTTCGTGTATAAATATTTAACCAGGCCTTCTTTTCTTCTAAGGTAATTTGTTAGTATTTTTCAAACCTATCGACGTTTAACCTCGGCATTAATAGTCAGTGTCTTCTTGGATTATTGAGTTAATACGAGGTTAATAAAGATGCTTATTTGGCTAACGTTTAGACGCTTTCGTCTTCCTCAGGGCCGACGATCCCAGTCGATGGTCCACGTCAAGATCTCGACCCTGTCATCTCGCTAGACCATCGATTCAGATCATCGGCTTTGAGGAAGACGAAGGCATCGAAATGTTAGCCGAATAAACACACCTTTATCAAACTCGTGTTAGCTTAGCAGTCCAAGAATGTGTTGATTTACTAGTATTTCCCATAGTTCGTCTACTACCGTATTGGATACTTTCGATAATAATTGCATCTATTTTACTGCTTTTTTTTGTTTCACTGTATTGTAACAGAGACCAGTCAGCACTTCACTTGACTTATGTGTCAGATGTATGCGTCTGTGGAAGAACTGGATCCGATGTCGAGAGCGTTACAGCACTACTTCGACAGCAACGACGATGAGAGATCGATCTCGAAGCTAGTACTGGTTGTCGCTGCTGCAGATTTTCAGTGTATCAGTTGCGTTTTCACCTTGCTTAGCAGTTGAGACCAGTTTTTGTTCTGTGCGTGTGCTTGTGTGTGTCAGTCGGATAGTCGGATCATCATCTCGATTAGCATGATGATACGATCGTGTGTCTTTTTTGAGCGCACCCACGCGCCCACCAAATGCAGCATCCATCCACATGTGGGAGAACGAGTTCTGTTCACTAACAGAACCGTGCGCCGTAGTGTCGTCGTCTGGGCGTGTTACGGCATTGTTCGGCGGCTGCGTGATCGGGGCACCCAGATGATCGCTGGAACCGGCAGCGGCGGCGGCGGCGGCTGCGGCAGAGCTGGACGGCCTGCTGGCCGTCTCGCCTCGCTTTCATCCCGCTTGTTCGTTCGCTGCCAACGATTCACTTTCCAGTTTCGCTGTCCTGGTTTTCGCCCACGAGTTCGTCTACGGCACTTACGCCGCTCCGTTTCGGTGATCTGAGCGATCGATAACCGCCGGTGGTGTACGGTGACTGCGGCAGCGACACCCCCAGGAAGATTTCGCAATTCGGTCATCGCAGCCGCGTTACCCTGCTACTCGAACGTTTTCTTGCCCTATGACTCAATCTCTAGGTATATTCGATCGATTGACTCGAATCGATTTGAAGTCCATCAGCTCTCTATAGAACACCGTACCCAACAAACATACATCGTAGTTGACGTAGGTGAATGGTTCCACTTCTTCCTTTGCTTTATTATGCTTTCAGTGTCACATCTCCATCTGATTTTCTCGGTATTTCCCATATCTGGTTTCTCTGCCCTCCGCCTAATGTGACGCTAAATTAAGTTATCCTCTTCATAATTAAGTTATTAAGGAGGAATCATCAGCCTTATTAAGGTTATTTGTAAGTACAGCGATGAGATATTGACATTCGGTTGCTGATCCATTAAAACCAGGTCATTGAAAAGATCATTGGATAAAGTCATGACGTATTTATACATACTCAGCTGGTGAGAAAGAGACTTGTGAAACCCACTGACTGATATGCGCAATCCTTGCACATGTGCGAGGAGATCCGAGACAGCTGTTTGGAATACGAAGTACGTCGAAAGGAGCGAGGGGGGCGAATTTAAATAGCGAGACTTGTGGAGGAGTGAGGCAGAAGCTTGGGAAGTGGCAGGTGCTGTGTCGTCGGCTAAGAGAGCTGTGTGCTCTCCTGGTTATTCTGTTAACCGCTTGAACATATTCCTCAATGGTTTTCGTTCCCCTCGTTTCGTCGTATCGTAATTGTAATTTGCAGATTATATGTTTTGGTGAACTGTGATGCGTAGAGTCAATGAACACACTTCGTCGTTCTGCCTGTTCTGGTTGTCTTAACCTTCAAACTCTTCGTTGTGACTGACGTTTCTGACTATTTTTCTGTGTTCTACGAAGAACAAATGAATAGACTTATATAAAAGTGTCTGTGAAACTGTCAACTAATGTCCCTTAGGGCATTATTTCTGGAATGTTGGCTAGTAGACGCTTGAGTTTGATTGTCCGTATCAACCGCAGTGTAAATTACATTAACTTCATAGTATAGGCATATTTGTGAACAAAAATGGATTTTAAATATATATCTGTATGGATCAAGTATCGTTTTTGAATTATGTTATGCTTTAACTGATATGGGGAACAAATCCAGCAAGTTGTTGGAGGGTGTAGTTTGTAGCGCGATGGTTAGATGCTCCCTGCAATACACACGGGTTCGATCTCGTGCTCCAGACTGAACGAGTCTTCCATTCCTCCGGGGTCTGCAAATTGATACCAGACAAGTCTGGGAGGATAGCAGCACTAGTTCGATACATCTGCAGGCTACCGCGGGATATTGTAAAGGCCAGATATACATGCAGTCAATTCCTACGATTGTTCATCAAGTCGAATGCATGGCGCATCCCTCAGAGATTGATCATCCCCAACAGCTGTGTCCTTTATCCTTCAAATTATTGAGGCGATTTTCAATTTTCTAATATTGGAGGCGGTGTCCCAAGCCCTTGTTCGATGTTGATTTTAAGATTGAAACACTATAGTAATCCTTTTATATCGCGCTCGATTAGTTGTACGAATGCAAGCAGCTCGATTTTCTGTAAACTCATCCATTTCTTTGATTCAACAGAACCGGCTGTGCCATGGGTCTTTATCTCGAGCTCCTTTTTGATGACGTCCATACAAGATTCCAACGACGTTGTAATGCAAGAGAAGTTGATGGATCGGATTTTTCCTTCTCGTTCTTATACCTGAGTAATTTTAAATCATTCCTCAGTTTCCGTTTCCAGTCAGTAGCGCTTTTCTCTCAATTTGGCCTATTCGCAGAGATCTGCTCGGGATTCGATGCTCGTTTTTTGCCGGTTTATGTTTGTTTAAACCATTCTGATTTTAGACATTGGCAAGCCTTTCCTGCTGTACTCGTGAGCTGTACTGCTCTGATTTTTCTGTTCAATAAGGTAATAGTTCTTTACTGTTCGATCTTTTAGCTTAGTATTTCCTTGTAGTTTTATCGTATTGTAATTCGTCGTGTTTACTTTTTCGTTTGATTTTGTAGTTATGTTGTGAACCTGGCGCTTATTCTTGGGGCTAGTTTGCGTCTGTTTGTAGTTAGTTCATTTTCTTGTTTCGCTCATGCTTCTAGTTCGAATGTAGAATAAATGTCTATATGAATGTCGTTCCCTTATAGCAATCAATGTTAAGAAAACCATCGTGTAATTCTTCTTCCCATTCTTTGCTATTTCTCGTAGAGACTACAGTCGTTTAGAAGCAGACGAATCGACATGCATTTATGTTAAGACTTTACCAAATATACAGTCGTACATCAAATTCGATGTTAGTAATACTTTAATTTCGCATTGATGGATGCGAGGAAACGAATCGAAAGTGGAAAGTGCTGGGGTCCGCACGATAGACGTGAGAACGGGTCATGTGAAAATAAAAAAATATTCCACAGTATACTCCTACCATACGATTCCCTCTTATATCCAACCCGATTTGGCATTTTTGGTAGTCAGGAGTCCTAATAAACGTAAATAAATTGTTTACGTGGTTCATCTCTACAGTGTTCCAGTACTCATAACTCCAGTATAGCTTTTTAGAGAAGCGGTTTAAACTAGAACTATCTTAAGACGAAAGTAATGATCACGATATTGTGGTGTGAACAGTAAAGTTGCATAATTGTAAAATTTTTACAATTCAGAATGCTTGATTCTTTGGGTGGCAAGCAGACCTCATCATGGCTCGACAGCCTTTCGTCGACTGTCAACGTTAACTCTTCTGTATCTACTGGTTCAAATCTCTCACAAATAAACAATTCTGAAGCTCTCTCAAGGTCTTCGTGGCTTTTCAACAGTCAGGTTTGTTCGCATACTGCTATGCCTGTTATTTTGTAATTTTCTGTTAGTAAACTTGCGGAGAACTGATTGAACAGTTTTTGTTCTGCTGCGTTTTGATATCTAAATAGTTTGCTAATGACTTCGTTTGATGTCCTCTGATGTTTTTGAGGATCGATTTTCATCATCGTCTGTGAACTGACTTTACGTTATGGTGGAGACATTGGTCGACGTATTTGATTAACTAACAAACAGTCTATTAGTTTTTATTATGTATGCTTTCTGTTCGTTGTATTACGTGGCTAAACACCTACGTTGCTTAACTAATGACCATATTCGCTGTTAACGTGGGAGACTTAGGAATTTCTCCGCCTTTTACAAATCGGTCATCTTCAACGAAGAGCTGTTTTTGAGCTGAATAGCTCCTAATCATACGCTTTCTATCTCTTACGTATTTCGCTTGTCATGGTTTTGAGTTTAATTTGAGCACGACAGCATGAAAAACTAGGATATCTTTGTACACTAAGACCTTATCTGGGTAAGTTGTGTGGTATTCACTTACAGCTTACATAGCAAGAACTTGTACAGAAGTACAGGAAGGTTTTTTCTTGTCAGAGTCTCCAAAATCATCGCAGTTTCTATCATATTACTTTGTCGTTTAAGGAAATTCACAAATTGAAGTACTACAGAGTGTTTCTTTAGCTCTTCTCGTTGTCTCTGTCTGTTCCTCGCTTACAGAGGAAAGTTACTTAGTGACATTTTCACATCTCCAGTCTAGTAGTTCTTGCATCTACTTCGATTATTTAGTAGATCCCATTATCTATATCTAACACTGATTTCATTTGTTCATTTCTGCTTTACAATAGTTTAAAACTGGTTGTGAGAGTAGTAGGATTTACCGTTTAATTGCTGATAGCACCGATAGATAGGAAACTAGCTGAGAGAAAGGCGAAACGAAGGACCCACATTGCGTGGTGGTGAACGCGTTAATTCCCGTAAAGGGTAGTTGTGCGTTCGTTCTCCTCCGCAGGCGCCATGATATCCTATCGTCAAAGGTTGTAGTAGGCAGTAAATAAGAAGTTAACATTACACTTTAATTAAAAGGAAAATTGGAATGTTTATTTCTGTGTGATCGGAACCATTGGATAAATCTTATTTTATTGTTGATGGGTTCAAATTCGATCCTGCTGCTTTGCCAGTGTGGAAAACATTGTAGGATTAGATTTATTAGTGGACATACCAGCCTCTTATCCACGTGTTTCCCATTACATCAATCGTTTTTGCAGCATTAGCAGATTGGATTTTATTTCCTGTTTATTCCAAACGATTTGTTTCCTTCCGTTCTTCGGTGTCATCCTTTAAGGCAAAATTTAACTTGGTGGGTCTAGTTCCTTATGCTGAGAAATGGGAAACTACGTTATTAAGCTGTGTAAAGCTGTTTCTTTTTTTCAAAATTTTTCTGATTCTCGGCGAGGAGTGTCATGTTGTTGGGTGACTTATCACAATCTTCTTATGAAATTAACTTTTGCAGGAACATCTGTTTTTGCATATTCGTAATTTTTCATTGGGGGATAAAAAAAAGTATGAAGCTCTCGGCGTTGATCAATCCTTGAGGGATGCGCCATGCATTCGACTTCACTAAGCATCGTTTGGAGGTGATTGAATGCACGTCTGGTCTTTTATCTAGACGGTGCTGCTATTCTACGAGACAAGTGTGATACCAGTTTGCCGTCTCTGGAAGGATGGAAGGCTTGGTAGCCCATTAGCGTGGGAATCGATTCCACGTGTGTGTTGCAGGGCGCCTTGCACCACTACGCCACACGCGCCCATTTCATTAGGGGAGTTACCCTTATTGTCTTTTTTGAAGCGGTAGTTGTTTTAGAGTATCGGAACTCTATGCAGTTACGATCTTGGAGGTCCGTCCCATGAATATTCAATGATTCCCTTGTGTGCTAGTTGTAAGCATAGTAAATGTGCATAGTGCTTTGTTACTTGTTTCTTCCTAACGCATAACGTTCGACGCCTAATCTTACACAGCTGTCGCATGAGATGATGTGTTATTTCATACCATTACAGACGTATTGACCTTTAAGCGCTAGTCGATAATTATCCCGATAGCTAGAGGACTTGCGTGTTTGGAAACCCGATCGGATTTTTGAACACTGCTCGATTTTCCGAGCGGTACATGGGCTATGTGCGCTACTGATGTGTAACTA